GAGACCCTGAGAGTGAGTCATACTACACTTAGTAATCATGTAAGACAAGATCCCTATAGTCTTGGCGAATAAAACATAAAGTCAAAACTCGAAAGCATTCTACACTAGAGCTTGCATGTCAGTTTTTTGTTTCCTTGTTGATAAGTCTTTTCTTTCAAGGGTTTGTTTCCTTATTTGCTTTGATTTGAGTCTCGTGTGTGGGGAAGTTTCCTCTATTTATCAATGTCTTATATATGCTTTGTGTTTCTAAGATTTGTTCATGAATAATGTTTGAAAAGAGTTTTCTCAAATCTTTACATCGGTCTTCAAAGTTTGAATCAACGTACTATGGAGACCGTTAGTTTCCACAGAGTCGTAGCCAAGAATGAGTACCGAAGTAAACACAAATACAAAAAGAAAAGAAGGTTAACAGAAGTACCTTTTCTAAAACTTGGTCTGCACTCAATATCAAAGCCAACAATAGCTCTTCCAGATTCATCTCTCTTGGTATCAAGAGCTCTAAGAAGCTGAAGATATATATCCTAAACTATGCTAAATAAAAAAAAAAAGCCACTGTTTGGACTAGAGTTTATGATTCCTTTTTCTTTTAATGTTATCCATTAAAAACCCATGTTAGTTATTCGTTTTGTCATAGCAATTAATATGACAAAAATTTTGGTCTTCACGAATTCAGTCAAATCAATCTACATCTATCTGTTACATGGCTAACAAGGTTTACGCCGGAATTAATCATTTCTTTCTTCGATAAGATGATTTGGCGGCCGTTAGGTCACCTATTTTGAGTTATGGTTTTGAAATTTGCTTAATTAAGCCAGGTAATGAACGTTTTGTATATCGACTGCTTCAGATGATGGAATACTAAGGATGATAGCTTGAGGCAAGCCTTTTCTACATATGGCCAAGTCCTTGATGGTAAGTATAGCCTTTGGATCACTCACCATTCAAGAATTTATGTTGTTAGTTTAAGTTTAAGTTTCTCATTAAACAAAAAAGAGTTTTCTTTTTTTTTTGTGTGTGCAGCAATCGTGATGAGAGACAAAGACACAAGAAAGTCCAGAGGTTTTGGATTAGTCACCTTTTCCAGTGAGTAGGTTTATATGACTCCATTTATGGTAATTGTTCTGTTTATATGCTCAAACTTATGATGATGGCTTTGGTTTTGAGTTTTCAGATGCTGGATGGTCGCAAACTGAAAGTGAATCTTTCTGTACAGAAACATATAATGTAACCGCCAAGAAATTAAAGGAATCTTCAGGTTGCAAAGGTACTGAGAGATTAACCCCCACCACACAGCCGAGAAATTGCGTTTGCGGTTTTGAATAATCAAAGGAAACTTCAGTCTGGAGATTTTCAGCAATTATATTAACCCACACCACACGGCTTGGAAAATTCAAAATTGGCGTTTGTGGATAATCTGTAAAGTCAAAGCACTTTTTCTAAGAGCAGACTTGACTTTGTACGTATGGAAATTAAATCGTATTTGTGGAAATAAAATGAGGCTTGTTAAGTCAAAGCTTTAATCTCCTCCAAAATGTCCGAATCAATCAAATAATCTAGAGACAGGTCTTCGATTTTCTGTGGAAGCAATTAGTCTTTAAAGCTTTAGTTTCACAGGGAAAAAAAATCAAAGAAAAAAATATGAAGCATTTTTGTAGAGAGAGGAGGATGATAACAATAAAATGGAGCTTGTGTTTAATCTTCTGCTTTTCTAACTCAATACTTGTTATTGCTTCTCCTGCTGAACACTTGTGTCTTCCTGACCAAAGGGATGCTCTTTGGGACTTCAAGAACGAGTTCTATATCCAAAGGCCCAATTGGATGATGTCTGAAACGGCAACAGAGAAGTGGAGGAACAACACTGATTGCTGTTCTTGGGATGGTGTCTCTTGTGATCCTAAGACGGGAGTGGTGGTTGAGTTAGACCTCGGGAACAGTGGTCTCAATGGCCCTTTGAGATCTAATAGCAGCCTGTTTAGACTACAACATCTTCAAAGCCTAGATCTTGGCGCCAATCTTTCGGGTACTTTACCAGATTCCATCGGCAACCTTAAATATTTGAGGGTTTTAAGTCTTGTTGATTGCAATCTCTTTGGAAAGATTCCTTCTTCACTCGGAAATCTTTCTTATCTCACTGATCTTGATCTTTCTAAAAATGATTTCACCGGTGAGATACCGGATTGGATGGGCAACCTCAAATATTTAAGGAATTTGCATCTTGGTAGTTGCAATTTCTATGGAAAGATTCCTTCTTCACTCGGAAATCTTTCTTATCTCACTGATCTTGATCTTTCTTATAATGATTTCACCGGTGGGATACCGGATTCGATGGGCCATTTAAACAAGTTAACAAAGTTGTATCTTATATCGACCTATCTCAATGGGAACTTTCCTCATGTGCTACTCAACTTGAGCTCGCTCACCGCTATCGACCTTAGTTCTAACCAGTTCAAAGGTATGCTCCCATCTAACATGAGTAGCCTCTCCAAACTGGAGGGTTTTGATATTAGTGGAAATTCATTTTCTGGAACCATTCCCTCTTCTCTCTTCATGATCCCTTCGTTGAGTCAACTTCACCTGCGAAGAAACGACTTCAGCAGTCCTCTTGAGATTGGGAATATCTCTTCACAATCTAAACTTGGATACTTATACATTGGAGAAAACAATTTCAGTGGACCAATCCAGGTTTCTATATCGAAACTAGTTAACCTTCAGATTCTTGACCTCTCTTTTTGGAACACAGGGATGGACATGGTTGATTTCAGTATCTTCTTGCATCTCAAGTCACTTAGTTATTTGGATCTTTCAGGGATTAATTTGAAGACCAGTTCGACTCTCAGTCTTCCCTCAGCCATGGGGACATTGATTTTATCATCCTGCAACATTTCCGAGTTTCCCAAGTTTCTACAAAACCAAACCAGTTTGTTTTCTTTAGACATCTCTGCCAATCAAATTGAAGGTCAAGTACCAGAGTGGTTATGGAGACTGCCAGGGTTGCGGTTTGTAAACATTGCTCAGAATTCCTTCAGTGGAGAACTAACTATGTTACCAAACTCTATCTATTACTTTATAGCCTCTGATAACCAGTTTTCGGGAGAGATTCCTAGATTAATATGCGAATTGGATAATCTTCAAATACTTGTTTTATCCAACAACAACTTCAGCGGTTCTATTCCACGGTGTTCTAAGAATTTCAATACTATTTCGATCTTGCATCTTCGGAATAACAGTCTCTCTGGTGTTTTCCCAGAGGAATTTATCAGTGTTAAATTGATTTCACTTGATGCTGGTCTCAATAGGTTATCAGGACAACTTCCCAAGTCTCTGATCAACTGCACTAGTCTCGAGATTCTGAATGTGGAAGACAACAGAATTAATGAAAAGTTTCCATTATGGTTGAGATCGCTGCCTGATTTACAGATTCTTGTCCTTCGTTCTAACGAGTTCTATGGGCCAATATCTTCTCCTGGAGGTTCTATGAATTTTCCCAAGCTGCGAATCTTTGACATTTCGGAAAATCGCTTCACTGGAGTCTTGCCATCAGATTACTTTGCAGGTTGGACTGCAATGTCATCGGTGGTCGTAGAAATTTTTGATAGTATGTTTGCGTTTAGAGTTGCAGGAAGTACCAGAGACCCCTACCATAACGTTGTGGTTCTGACGAACAAAGGATTGGATATGGAGCTGGTTGGAAGTAGTTTCAAAATCTACAAAACTATTGATGTCTCCGGAAACAGACTCGAAGGAGACATCCCTGAGTCTATTGGTATACTCAAGGAACTGATTGTGCTCAACATGTCAAACAACGCTTTCACAGGCCATATTCCACCAACTCTATCAAACTTGAGCAATCTCCAATCATTGGATCTATCTCAAAATAGATTATCCGGCAGTATCCCACCAGAGCTCGGGAAGCTTACGTTTCTAGCGCGAATGAACTTCTCGTATAACAGGCTTGAAGGTCCAATACCACAAGCCACTCAGATTCAAACCCAGAATAGTTCTTCTTTCGCAGAGAATCCCGGGCTTTGCGGTGCTCCTCTCCAAACAAAATGTGGTGGAGAAGAAGCAACGAAGCAAGAACAAGATGCAGAAAAGGAAGAGGAAGATCAAGTATTTAGCTGGATTGCAGCTGCAATAGGCTATGTACCTGGTTTGTTTTGTGGACTCGCCATCGCCCACATTCTCACTTCATATAAACGTGACTGGTTCATGAGAATCTTTTCTGCTTCTCTTCTCCGGTGGAAAAAATGATCAATAATAAATGTTTTCTCTTTAATTGTTGTTTGGGTCTCTCATCTTGAGATTGAGAATCTGTGTTTTTGTTAAGTTACTTTTATCTTTACCTTTATCTATTGTGTCGCTGAAACCTTCAATGGACTAGCAACTAGATACAATGTTCAAATATCGTTTAGACTAGATTTCTCGCAACATTTTAATGCTAACTCTTGGGTTATAGGCTAACCTCTAAGCTTCCTCCACGTTATGGGCCATGGACAGCATCAGGTGGTCCTTCAGAACCTAAGAAGAGAAAAATGTTCTCCATTAGCTTCTAACTCACAAAAGACAAGCTCCAGGTTTTTCACAAGTAACAGTAGTATAATTAGAACGATGTGAGGCTTTTGCTTCAAGTTCGTTGTTATGAGAAAATGGTTTTTCTTTGATGTTACCTAGTAAAGATGCCATGAAGCATAAGCATCGGTTGCTACGTATTGTAACTGCTCCTTTGATAGAGGATGGACCTCCCAGTTCCCAAGACTGATTCAGTTTGGCTTAAGGAGCTGCAAAGTAACAGTTTTCAAAGCGAAATTTAACCAAATTCCCAAAGCTCTAAACAGAAAACTTTCTGAAACAGCAGCACAGAAGAGTGTCGTTTCTGATATTTCTAAGGATAGCGGAAAATGATATATCTCAAAATCCAAAAACCAAGTTTTGAAATCAACAAGATAAGGTGGATAATGAATACCTCTTTGCAAACAAGTGTCTCAGTTAAAGGGGCAAGGCCTCATTCTCATTTTTTAGTATCTCCGCCAAGTTTTTCTGTTGGCTAAATCTGAAAGATCTTCGACATCTTTGATGGACACACCATGGTCATGGAAAGCTTCACAGAATCACCATCAATTCCAACAACAAACCTATATACATATAAGAACTAAGTTAAGTGTGAGCATATCCATGGCATCCAACACGAACATTGATCACTTTAAAAGTTAACAAACCTTTATGATAGCTGAATCCTCAATAAGAAGTTTGAGTCAGAATTGATAATGTGCATAACATCACAAGAATTATTCTCGACACATATCTGGACAATTGCAACCTTCCCCGGGAGAACACCTGAACATCCCAAATTTTAACGAATAATCATTAGTTAGATCACACTGGAACTTCACTGAAGGATAGTGCATATAAAAGCTTGCAGCAATGAGATTCGAGACTAGACAAAACTGAACAAGTGAGCCATCTAAACTTTCTTCCGAACATTTACAATGGAGACAACAAGCATAAGCTCTTCCTGATCTAAAGACAAACATATATATGCATCCATAGAGATAAAAACGTACCAACAGCTGAATATGATTGGACATTGCATACTTAAAAAGGGCAATGGAAACAGATGAAACTTGCAAACAGACCAAGATAAGACCTAGTATCATGAATTGAGAGGTGCTTTCATAATAAGAAATTGATGTTAAACATAATACCTTCTTTAAAAACTAGGTGTCCACTCAATATCATCTCTCTTGGTATCAAAAACCTCAATAGCTAGATTTAGCTGCAATAAGAAGGCAATAATCAACGGATAAGATTGCTTAGATACAGAATCAAATTGCACACAAGTGGAGAACATAACATCCTCACTTGGTTAGGGTATGAACAATTGAGAAAATAACAACTTTGAAATCGAATCAGAGAGTGTAAAAAGGTGAGAAAACAAATAAATTGAGATCACCAAGAGCCAAGAAATTTCTAAGCAAAAGAAGACGTAGAAATTCGAATATAATAGCGAAAAATCTCTAGGGAGAGTGATGAACCCACTTCGACAACGAGAGAGGAGAACTCGGTTATAAGCTGCAGGGGACGTGATTGGAATGACGCAATTGGCGACGGAAATTGGGGATTTCAAATGGATTCTCGTGGACATGGCCGGAGCTCGTAGCCCGTACGATCGGAGAATAAGAAGAAGAATGGGAGAAATTATAGGAAGCTTCGATGGCGTCGATAGCCAGAAGTTCTTCCTCTGTAAAAATCTTTGACGTCGTCCCAACTCGACGAGTTTTTTTTATTGGTATTACAAAGGAAGAATACATTTTGTGTACAATAATCAAATTCAAATTGAACCAGAAGGAAGAAAAACTCGCTGATATTATTAGAAAAAAGCCAACAAAATACAACAATTTCAATAAGAAACCAAAAAAAAAAACATTCAAGAAGAAATAGCTGAAAAAGAAAACCCTTTTTTTTTACTGTTTGTTTCTTCATCTAGGGTATCTATAATATAAGACCACAGACGATTGCAAAATTAGGTGAGAAAAAAGAGAACTGTTTCTACAGTAAGAATGTTAAGGAAGTTACTCTACTATCCTTTTGAAATATCTTTGTTTTTAATTTTTGATTTCTTATTTTTTTTCTCTCTCTTCATCACAGATTTCTCCGAGAAAGTGTTTGGTTTCGGTGAAGAGTTCATCACGGTGATCTTGATATGACATAATCAGAACGGAGTAGAGTTTTCAATTTCGTAAAGACCAAGGTGAATAGATTTACATTATCCGGTGATATATAGTGTGGGATGAGGAGAGGAGACAGAGGTGATACCGGCGGTGATGATTTAATTGGTGGTGATGGTGATGATGGCATTATCGATTGTGAGTGAGTGTGAGTGTGGTGTAGAAAGCTTGTATGACTAGAGGTTGAGCAGTTGTTGTGGTGAGCTGAAACAGAGACAAAAAAGGTGTGGTGGCTGGAGTGGAGTTGTGAAGGTGGCCGTCATAACCAAATTCCACAATCAAAGAAGAAATTGTGAAATACGGTAACTCATAAATTAACGACTAACAAAAGTAATATTGTATTAAATTAATCATCTGACTAAATTTTCTTGTTTCATTGATTGATCTTGGTCACAATAAAAATTCCTTTTAAAATTTTGTATAACGTATGTATAAGGTATAATTTAACAAGTTAAACATATAGATAACTTGCTATATATATATATTGTTATCCATATGTATTGTGCTAACTGGTGATTTATCGACATACATTTTATTTTACCGTGTTAAATAAATAAATAAATATACAAATTACAACATATTCATTTTTTAGGTATCTCATCAGCATCCAAATTTATCATTATATATTAATTAATATTTTAACACGCTAATAGAAATATTGTGTTAACATTGTTGGTATCGCTATCATTATATGTAATAGGTTTATCATATTTTTTAAGTATATTAATTACTTAAGAGAAATTGTTAATAATAACAAATAACAACTCTAATTAATATTTTATATGATATAATAACTTGTTTAACCCGATAACTCTGCATGTAACACATATTATGTGAACATATCCCGATATTATAATAATTAACATGTAAATAAAATAGTTATCTACGTAACTCACAAATTGTTTTACAGTATGTGGCGATAAATAGTGTCATCAATTTTGAAAAAACAGTGTTGGCAGGTGGTTGATGAACAGTATCCAATGATGAACAGTATCGTCCGGTGTTAGAATGAACCGTCTCATGGATATACTGGAAAAAAATCAATTTTTTTAATAAATGGTATTTTTGTAATTAATCCGAAAAAGAAGGAGATTTTGGTTTGTCTTATTTTTTCTCTTTCCTATTTACTTAATTAAAGAATTATCATGGCTATATTTCTAATTTTTTGGTCAACCATGTATTTACATTAATATAGCCCTTACTAGATCATCACCCGTACTACAGTACGGGTTGAATTTCATTTATTACAAAATTTATATATTATATAGTTATAAAATAAAATCGTGACATATTATAATAGTAAGTAAAAAATATTAATTTTTTTATGTCAGTCCATATATATAATATTAGAATGAATATATTTTTATTTTTCTGTAATCCTCAATTATAGATATATTTTTTAAAAATATGAAAACGGAAAATAATATTATTTTCAAAAAAAATAATATTATTTGAACAATGAGTTAATTTATGTTAACAACCACAAAATGAGAGTACATATAATTTAGTTAGATCAAAAATCAATATATCATAAATGAATCGCATCTAAAACGTAGATTATTTTGAATTAGTTAAAAAAGCTAGCTATTATTTTGAATTAATTTAGGAAATTACTTTTTTCAAATTCTAATTCATTGGTTGTTGAAATAGAGATTTGTTTGAGCTAATTACGGAATTTACCAATTATTCACATAATCGAATATGTTATAAACATATATTTGGTATATAATAATACCAAATTCGATCCGTGTGTGGAGTCTATATTTTCATTTTACAATCCCTATGAAAATATTGTGGCACAATCTATTATTCATTATTTCCAAAATTGCTTGCAGAATTAAATTTTCAAATATTTAGAAGTGTCAAACCTTATTTAACTCATCTCATCATAAAATCTTAAAATGTCGTCTATTTTAAGGATCATAACTTTCTATCATATAATACATTACTTTTAACCCGCCGCCTACTATAAATATATTAAACATATCTTTTTAGAAAATCAAATTAGTATTTATAATTTTTTTTTATCTTTTTAATCTATTAAATATTTATGATATTCTTTAATATATTAAATTAAACTTTTTTCAAATGTTCCAAATTAAAATCTTTAAAATTTTTATTGTAGTATGTAAAATTATGAATTTAAAAATATATATATATATATATATATATGAAATTAAATATAAATATTTAAATAGTTATAAAAATCATAACTCATTTCATCATATAATACATTATATTTAACCCGCCGCCTATTATAAATATTTGTTTCAAAAAATCAAATTAGAGTATTTATATTTCTTAACTTTTTGATCTATTAAGTATTGATGATATTAAAAAAAGGAATATATTACTCAAATATGAATTTTTGACCCATTAAATTTGTTCTTTCATACATTGAACAATTTATATTCGTTTTAAAAAATTCAAATCTTTGTATATGCGGAAAAAATTTACTTTTTTTTTATTATGTAGATGATATAATAATTTATTTATTTTATAGAAATAGAATAATATAAAAATGAGAGGTGTAGTATAATGATTAATAACAAATTAATGTGATAAGTTAGATATCAAATCTTATATGTTCATTTTGATTGGTCATTCTTTTAAAAAAAATTAATAATAGATTTTCGTTTTATAATTAAATTAAATTAATTAAATTGCATAAAATAGTATTTGACTTGTTTATCCTTAATGAGTTGAATTAATTTACTCTATAAAATTTTATTTCTAATGGCATTCTTAAGTAAATTTTTACAAAAGGGAAGGTTAGTTAAGGGTATCTTATAAAGTGTACTCCCCAAATAATAGTATAGGATATATATGGTAGATAATAGAAGATTACTCTTGCATATATATATAGAGAGAGAGAGAGATCTCTAATCCTTGTACTTCATCTCAGACATGAGGAATCCAGGCATCTCATACGAGGCCGAGAACTTCTCGACGTCAGCCTTGAGCTGATCAAGATCTTTGTTGTTCACCAAACCCTTGTTGAAGTCCTTCAACAACTTACCGTATGTCTTCTGGATGTCCAATGTTAGTGTCACTGCACGGCTCAGGAATTCTCCTATCTGCTCAAAGTCCTTCTCCACCAATCCTCTCGATGTCATTGCGGGTGTACCTACAGTCACATATATACTTCTTTATTAGCAAGATCCAACAATGAGATTCAATGGCCATTGTCAAGAAAGCAACATTTTTTTGGAGAAGACAATATGAAATTTATTGGTCAAATAACAACAATCAAATTAAGAAACGTAAAAATATGTTTGAGGGATACATAGGAGGAAGACTAAACCGTATGAATCAAAACATAGATAGAAGTAGAAATGTCTCCAAATAGATCGATTGAGAGGAAGATTAAACGAGAGACATGTAAAATCAAAGTAAAAGAGTAGCTATTCTTGATTTCAACTCAAACCTGTAACGAATCATGTAGAATTCCATAGATCTCTTTGATTTGGGTTTTGATTTTTGATGACTTTTTTCGTGAGCGAGGTTGCGAGTAGATCTGATGAAGCTTTTGATTTGGGACCCTATGGCAAGCGTTGTGGCTGTGTGGTCTAGGAAGATCCAACCCAATCCTGCAATTTGAAGATCTCTGTAAATGTTGTACCCAAGTTAGTTGCAGATTATTTGATCTAAAAGCTTTTCTTGGATTTGGAGACAAAAAAAAGAGAAGAGGGGAAATAAAATGAGTTTGAGGAGCGTGAGATTGGTGATGTGGATTAACGACATGGATAATCAAATTTTTATTTATTATTTTTAATTAAAAACGAATTAAAAATTATTAATTAAAAAAAACTAATGGAGGGTGTTAACTGTAATTACACAAATGCTCAAAACATATGAGTAATTTTTAAAAAATATATGATATTCTAATAATAAACATACTTTTCTATAACATCTGAGTAAATTTAACTAGTGTGTAAACAATGGTAGCTTCAATATAAATCGTTATAATTATTTGTATAATCCACAAAAACACTAATACATATCATCTAAATTAAGTTCATAGTGATTAAATATGTAGCTTAGTGGTTTATTTATACTGCTAATATCTCATAATTAATAGTCAAACTCGAAAATCTATTTTTCGCTTAGAACACTTAAATCAAAAATAATTTTTTATTTTTTTTTGCTTAGGGCACTTAAAATGTTTGGACCGGCACTGTTTATAGAGATTCAAACAATGAAATTTAATTGGTCATTGTTAAGAAAAATTCAGAAGTCCCTCATACCGCATTCCTGTTCAAAGTAATGTAGAACAATTCACAAACCTTCTCAACCTTGTTACCTGGAAGAAGCACAAACATAATTAATATCAGGAAAATAGTTCAGTATATATAACATATGGTCTCAAAGGTGGGTGATTTTTCACTGACCGGTCAATTCAAGAGGACGAAGATCCCAAAGAATAAGGTGGTTATCAGTTCCACCGGTTACAATCCAGTATCCCTTGTCCATTAGATAGTTTGCAAGGCAAGCAGCATTGGCTTTCACTTGTTTTGCATAAATCTTGAAGCCAGGAGCCATAGCCTGCTTCAACGCAACAGCTAGAGCACCGATCTTGTTATTATGAGGACCACTTTGAAGCGCAGGAAATACCGCAAAGTTGATTTTTTCGTCAAAATCGTAGACTTCACCCTCGGGTTGACCCTTCTTGGCTGGTTTAAGGCCCTTTCTATAAAAGATCATACCAGCCCTTGGACCTCTCAAGCTTTTGTGAGTTGAGGTTGTCACAACGTCACAGTACTCGAACGGGTCTGCGGCTTCCTGAGCAGCAATGAGGGCGCTGTTGTGAGCCATATCACAGAGCAAAAAAGCTCCAACCTTGTCGGCGACAGCCCTGAATCTCGCGTAATCCCATTCCCCAGGGTAAGAAGTACCTCCACAGATGATTAACTTAGGCGTAAAATCCATTGCTTTCTCCTCAAGCTTGTCGTAATCAATGTAACCAGTGGTGGAATCCACCTTGTATGGAAGGTTTTCGAAGTAGATCGAGGTAGCGGATATATTCTTCCCTCCAGAGGTATAGTAACCGTGAGTCAAATGACCACCTGAAGGCAGATCAAGCCCCATGATACGATCATGAGGCTGGAGCAAGGCGGTGTAGGCGGCGAAATTGGCAGGAGAACCAGAGTAAGGCTGAACATTAACGCCCGATTTCTCTGGATCACAATGGAAAGCCTCGAGAGCGCGTGAGCGGCAGAGACTCTCGATCTCATCGATGAATTCGGTACCTCCGTAGTAACGATTACCAGGCATACCTTCCGAGTATTTGTTGGTTAAGGCACTTCCTAGAGCTTCCATGACAGCCAAGGAAGTGAAATTCTCGGCTGCCATAAGTTCGATTCCTCGACATTGCCGATGTTTCTCCTTCTTGATTAGGTCGTGGATCTCCGGATCGATGGAGACAAGAGGCGTGTTTCCCCAAGAAGAGACCGATTCCATCTTTGAGATTATTGGAAGGATGGAGACTATTGGCGGGTCTTTATATAATTATTATCTTACAAAACTAAACATTTGACTTTTTAGAATTAAGTATGACTTTTTATTGCTTTAGAAGCAAGTAATTCCAAGTCAAGTATATCCTTTAACGAGAGCAAACGACATTATCATTTTATTACTCCAATGTGTTCACCTAGGAAACTAATTTAGTTTTGCCATGACAACTAATATTGATGACAAGTTTATTCTTAATTACAATTTGCAAGATATATAAAGACTCCAATTTCACTTAAGATATAACTTCACGCAATGATGCAAACATTTACTCATTTCTACGATAGAGAGACCATGTGCAATAATAGATAACGTCTTAATTGTATTCTTACGGTGTTATTAATTGTACAATTGTTTGTTTTAATTTTAGACGTTTCCCACAAACAGAGTAGCATATTATGATTACAAGACACAATTTATACTATTTTTGTATGATTGATTGATAATTCTGTAACTATCTTTGGTACATTACTCTAATAATTTTGTATGATTATTGTCTTCTTTAAAAGGTTGACTATTTAACAGAAACGGCACATTTATGTTAATCGTCTATGGGACTTGAATATGCAATGTTCTGATTATAAAGAGTTTTCTTTTTTATTGGGCTTGAATATGCAACCTCCTTTGATTGGTTGTAAATTTATTAATAATTTACATTTTAAAACCAAATTTGAATACAGTCAAGTGCTTGATAGTAATTAGTCTTTAGATCACTCACCATTCAAGAATTTATGTTGTTGAGTGTGGTTTAAGTTTCTCATTTAACCAAAGAGTTTTCTCTTTTTTTGTGCAGCAATCGTGATGAGAGACTAATTGGAGACACAAGAAGGTCCAGAGGTTTTGGATTAGTCACTAATCACCTTTTCCAGTGAATATGAAGCCGAATCTTCCATCAGAGGAATGAATTATCAACACCGATATCATTTGCATATCCCACAAAAGTTGCATCATTTAATACCATTACACAGACTAATCTTTATCTTTCGTTATAAGCAATGGACGGCATCAGGATATGTAGTAATGCTTCTCCATTAGCTTCTTACTCACCAAAGACAAGCTTTGTGCAGCCAGTTCACCAAAGATGCCATAAAGCATAACCATCGGCATCGCAAAAGAACTGCGTTTGCGGGTTTTGATTTGCTGCAAAAGGACTGGGCGATTAACCCACACCACACAAGCCAAGATATATCGTTTGCAGTTTTGAATAGTCAAAGGAATCTTCAGGCTGTGGACTGTTACAGCGATTATTAACCCACACCACACGGCTGGGAAAAATTGGCGTTTGTGAATAGTATGTAAGATTTTAAGAGTGTTTTAATCTCCTCCACAAATTTAAGAGTCATTCCAATGATCTAGAGATTTTATGTGGAAGCAATTAGTCTTCAGTGAAGACTTGTAAGTCAAGCTTTAAAGTGTTGCCACAAATGTAAGAGACGATCCAATTATTATCGATTCGTTTCACAAGAAAAACAAATAAAGAAATATGATGCATTCTTGTGTTGAGAGGATGATGATAATATGGAGCTTGTGTTTAATCTTCTGCATTTCGAACTCAGTACTTGTCATTGCTAAAGACTTGTGTCTTCCCGACCAGAGGGATGCTCTTTTGGAGTTCAAGAACGAGTTCTACGTCCCAAGCCCGGATTCTGGTTTTATGATTATTAAAGGGAAGACAGAGAAGTGGAGGAACAACACTGATTGCTGTTCTTGGGATGGTGTCTCTTGTGATCCTAAGACGGGAGTGGTGGTTGACTTGAACCTCGAGTACAGTAATCTCAATGGCCCTTTGAGATCTAATAGCAGCCTGTTTAGACTACAACATCTTCAGAGGCTGAATCTTGACAACAATTATCTTTCGGGTATCCTACCAGATTCCATCGGCAACCTCAAATATTTGAGGTCTTTGAGTTTTCGTCGTTGCTATCTCTTTGGAAAAATTCCTTCTTCACTCGGAAGTCTTTCTTATCTCACTTTTCTTTCTCTTTCGGAAAATGATTTCACCAGTGATTCGATGGGCAACCTAAACAGACTAACAGATTTTCAACTTATGCTACTCAACTTGAGCTCGCTTACCGGTATCAACCTTGGTTATAACCAGTTCAGAGGTATGCTCCCATCTAACATGAGTAGTCTCTCCAAACTGAGGTATTTTGAAATTAGTGGAAATTCATTTTCTGGAACCATTCCCTCTTCTCTCTTCATGATCCCTTCGTTGACCTACCTTGACCTGGGAACAAACGACTTCAGCGGTCCTTTTGAGATTGGGAATATCTCTTCACTATCTAATCTTCAACAATTATACATTGGAGAAAACAATTTCAATGGACCAATCCCAGGATCTATCTCGAAACTAGTCGGGCTCTCGGCTCTTAGCCTCTCTTTCTGGAACGTAGGAGGGGGCATTGTTGATTTCAGCATCTTCTTGCATCTCAAGTCACTTAGGTCACTTAATCTCGCCTATCTGAATACAAGAAGCATAGTTGACCTGAGTATTTTCTCAAATCTCATGTTACTTGATGAACTGGATCTTTCGGGGCTTAATTTGAAGATCAGTCCAACTCTCCATCTTCCCCCACCCATAAAGACCTTGATTTTATCATCCTGCAATATTTCAGAGTTTCCCAAGTTTCTACAAAACCAAACCAGTTTGTATTATTTAGACATCTCTGCCAATCAAATTGAAGGCCAAGTACCGGCGTGGTTATGGAGACTGCCAGAGTTGCGGAAGGTAAACATTTCCCAGAATTTCTTCAGTGGAGAACTAACTATGTTACCAAACTCTTTCTACAGCTTTATAGGCTCTGATAATCAGTTTTCGGGAGAGATTCCTAAGACAATATGCGAATTGGAAATACTTGTTTTATCCAACAACAACTTCAGTGGTTCTCTTCCACGGTGTTTTGAGAATAAATTTTCTCGTTCGATCTTGCATCTTGGGAATAACAGTCTCTCTGGTGTTATTCCGGAAGAAATTCTCAGTGGTAACTTGATGTCACTTGATGTTGGTCACAACCAGTTATCGGGAGAACTTCCCAAGTCCCTGATGACCTGCACTTATCTCCAGTTTCTAAACGTGGAAGATAACAGAATCAATGACACATTTCCATTTTGGTTGAGATCGTTGCCCTATCTACAGATTCTCGTCCTTCGTTCTAACGAGTTCCATGGGCCAATATCTTCTCCAGGAGATTCTTTGAGTTTCCCCGAGCTGCGAATTTTCGACATTTCAGAAAATAGCTTCAGTGGAGGCTTGCCATCAGATTACTTTGTTGGTTGGAGTGCAATGTCATCGGTTGTAGCCATTGATTATAGGCTTATTTTTGCTGCTTCCGCAGGTCTCCGAGAATCCTATCATAAATCTGTGGTTTTGACAAACAAAGGATCAAAGATGGAGCTGGTTGGGAGTGGTTTCACAATCTACAAAACCATTGATGTCTCTGGAAACAGACTCGAAGGAGATATTCCAGAATCCATTGGTATACTCAAGGAACTGATTGTGATTAATATGTCCAACAACGCTTTCACAGGCCATATTCCACCATCTCTATCAAACTTGAGCAATCTCCAATCTTTGGATCTATCTAAAAACAGATTGTCAGGCAGTATCCCACCAGAGCTCGGGAAACTTACGTTTCTAGAGTGGATGAACTTCTCGTACAACAGGCTTGAAGGTCCAATACCACAAGCCACTCAGATTCAGAGCCAGAACAGTTCGTCTTTCGCAGAGAATCCCGGGCTTTGCGGTGCTCCTCTCCAAAAAAAATGTGGTGGAGAAGAAGAAGAAGAAGAAGAAGAAGAGGAAGAAGAAAAGGAAAAGGAAGATCAAGTATTTAGCTGGATTGCAGCTGCAATAGGCTATGTACCTGGTGTTGTGTGTGGACTCACCATCGGTCACATTCTCACTTCATATAAACGTGACTGGTTCATGAGAATCTTTTCTGCTATTCTTTTCCGCTGAAAAATGATCAATAATAAGAGTCTTCTCTTTATTGTATTGTTTGCTTCAAGTTCGTTGTTATGAGAAGATGGTTTTTCTTTGATGTTACCTGGTAAAGATGTCATGAAGCATAAGCATCAGTTGCTGCGTATTAAAACTGCTCCTTTGATAGAGGATGTACCTCCCGCTCTCAAGCCTGCTTCAGTTTGGCTTCAGGAGCTGCAATGTAACAGTTTTAAAAGCGAAATTTAACAAATGCCTAAAGTTCTAAACAGAAAACCTTAATTCTGAAACAGCAGCACATTGCATACTTAAAAACCGCAATCGAAACAGATGAAACTTCGCAAACAGACCAAGATAAGACCCTAATAGCATGAACTGAGAAGTGCTTTCATAATAATAAATTGATGTTAAACATAATACCCTTTTAAAAAACTTGGTCTCCATTCAATATCATCTCTATTGGTATCAAGAAACTTAAGAGGTTGCAATTGCTCACTTATATCAACGGACAGAATCAGAATATGTAGCAATGCTTCTCCATTAGCTTCTTACTCACCAAAGACAAGCTTTGTGCAGCCAGTTCCACGTAAAAAGTGGGGTTTGTTTGTATTATTACCTGGTAAAGATGCCAGGAAGCATAACTATCGGTTGCTGCATATTGGAAGTTTGGAACTGCCAGTTGGACCAGTGTCACTATTGTCATCATCGGCCACATTCTCAGTTCATATAAAAAGGACTGGTTCACTCTTCTACTTATAAGTATGACTACTTAATTATGTAATAATAAATTGTATGATTTCACCATACGGTTTTATAAAATCAATGGAATCTTCAGGCTAAGAAATTGCGTTTGCAGTTTTGAATAGTCAAAATCTTCAGTCTGTGGAGCGACTAGCTTAACAGAAGACTTTTTCAAGTCAATCCAATGATCTAGAGTCAGCTACTTGATTTTCTGTGGAAGCGATTAGTCTTAACAGAAGACTTTTCAAGTCAAACTTTAATTTATTTCTAAAATGTGAGCAATCCAATG